GAATAAAATTTGCGAGCAGGAATCTTGAAACCTAACTTTATAATACAGCGACGTCGAGTATTTATGCCGGCGTGATTATCAGAGAGGTGAGTTGTGTTAATCTTATTTATGTTGGGATTATGTCTTGGGATTATTCTAAAAGCATGTAATGAAAAGTTCACATACAAGGGATGGCTTATGTCAATGAATCGAAATTTGCGATCTCTCGGGATTTGAGAAAGGCACATATTGACCATGAGTAATAAGCTCGTTATCAGAAGGTCTTAACAAAGTAGACAATCAGTTCAAACGTTTGATTCTTAATCATGTATTTGACTAAAATGTGTCCCTTTTACTGACATTCGTTTAATGGAGATCGTTTCCAAGTTGTCAGTTCAAAAACCAATGGGTAACTGTATCGTAAAGGAAAAGTCACTGATGCAAAACTGGTTCAATATAGCGATTCACCTGGATTAAAATAGACCTTGTCACGGTTTTCGGTTTTTGAAGGATGTATCTCGGCTAGAAGACGCTTTTTTAATTTTTCTAATTCCCCATACATTTGTCTGTAAGTTTATCAGTGTAGCCTGCGAACAGGCTCACGGTGAGCCCGAGCGAAGCGACCCCTGTACCGCCCCGATCGCTTCGCTCTCCGAATTCTTCTGTACGCCCTCCAATGACGGATTAATGAGGAAAACGTGAGAATATCAGCTGCGATACAGCTACAATAATACAGTTAAAAGCTAGATAAGTTCATTGAAGTGATCTGCCGTATAGCCGAGAACATATTTAAGGAATAGAAAGAAGAATCGAAGCCGAAGAACATGGCAAATATGGGTACTTGAATTGTCGCAGAAATATCTGGAAGAGTTACGTTATCAAACTATTTGCTTATTTCGTGTTGTTTTGTATAATTGACAGTTGTTGAGTGGCAGTTTATTGCACTGGAAAACAGCTTATGCTCTGTAATTAACCACGTTATGCTCCTTGGTAATGCTAAAAACACCTTTGTTTTGATACTTGTAATCACTGAGGCGGTCATTTAGTTCTTGTGGTTATGCCAATATTACTTCAGTTGGCCAAAATTTTCTTGATATGGAACATCATGGTAAAAATCAACTCAAAACAAGCAAATTGAGATATCGACGACCATTTAAAACAATTATTGCCCAGCTTTTTCCAGCAGGCAAAAACGATAGTTCCTCGTGACCATATAGTCTATGCTCTGGCCTGGGTGAACATCAAATGTAACAAGGTGACCGTTTTTAAAACAGACGTGAATTACAATAAAATTAGCCAATCGAGAAGTCCAAACGGTGACCGCGTCCGCCTAATAGAGGTGACCGCTATGGAGGTCAAATATATATAGTAAATATGTGAAGTGAAATTCGGGAATTTGAATATGGTCAATATAAATAGTGACCGACCACACAATTATTTAGTTTGCACTATTGAATTAGAAATTAGCTAAGAAAAAATGAAGCTTTGAAGCTTTAAATAATTCTAGTTTCTAGTATTCTTTCTCTGCGTATCTTTTGCATCTATTATGACTAAAATCCGCAACTCGACCGTACCACGGCGGCCATATTAGTGTTCTTTGTGTGCACTATCATGCAATAAAAAAATAACTAGAAAACCATTCAGTGGATAGTCAAGAAATTGTGATGTTATATAAGATGAATAAAAAATACACTTATCCAAATTTTAGGTCTGTGCATTTTTCCCAGACATCAGATATTTGTTGAAATGTTTCGCAGAAATTCACAGAGCCCAGTATGGAAACGCCATGTTGGCGTACATCCGTTGTACACCAATATGGCGGCCGGAAAATAGTTAGCGTGCGTAGCAAGCGTTTCTGTGGGGTTTGGGAGCAAAGAATTACAGCGCGAAATATGGAGCGAGTAAAAGAAGGGGGCTTTTTTGGCTCTCGCCCCATTTTCCGCGCAGGCAAAACACCGAAAATCCCCTTCCTCGGTCTTTATTTGCTTCCAAACCCCACGGAAACGCTTGCTACGCAGGCTAGAAAATAGTGTAAACATCTGGAACTTACTTTCGCTATCTAGACGACTGATTATCTGTATTGAACAAACAAGCATTTACATAAACACCTCTCCTAGTACTTTGCCATCTAAAAAGGCTAAAAATCACGAGATAAGTATATACTTTTCGACAAACGCGATCGTCGCTTTATGTCACGCGCGGTCATAACTCTGAAATTCAAAATGCGCTTGTTTCCAAATGAAGCACGCTAATGAGCTGGAAAATTGTACATAGATATAAATTTAGCAGCTGTTATTTTAGAAAATGATGACGTCACGTTAAAACGATCTATTGTCAAGAGATGATGTACAGTTCCTAGCGAAGAATTATTTCGGTCCAATCTGCAAGCAAAATTAAGAAATGTTAATTTGAAAACGCAACTGCAGGCTTTAAAATACCTCAAATACCATGTACCGTTTATAGCCACCTTCAGGGCAGGCTGACTTGGGTGACGGGGGGGGGGGAGGGGAGGGTGGAGAGCAGGGGTGGATAGAAGTGTGTGCGGTTCATAGCCAGCAACAAAGCTTTAGGGCTAATTAACAATTATTCCACGAACTCGAGTTGGATATGACACCAATTTTCTCTTGATGACAGTTGTAACATATGCAACAAGCGAGAGTGGAATAAATGTTTTATTAAAAACGACCCCAAAATGTAGAAAACTAAAATAGAATAAAAATAAAATCGGCCCCCAAAATCACGCATGCGCTTACAAATATTTCCAGAGCATGGTATAATGACTCGTATACTGACCATGATGGCCAAGCCAAAATTAATGAAAACTCTTGAATTTCATTGTCCAATTATCCAGTTTTTAATAATCAGATTTATATTCTACGAATAAGATACTTATTACTATTTCTCGATATGAGTTTTCCCTCTGTCATTTCAGAATTGACGTGATTTCCTCGACAACAGATGGCGCTTTGCAGACGTTTCATTTTGTTCTGCTTCACGTTATTGGGGATTTTTGTATTAACCGTTTATCTGCTTCTGACGCGCGCTATAACATTACGGCATAGAGGTAAATGATCATTGCTATTACACTGGTCTTAGTCATCCAAGACCGCGTGTAATACAAACGGGGATTTCACCTTCAGAAATGGGAGCAAGGATCAAATATTAAGTGTACTTTTCGACTGTTACTAATTACTCAGTCGTTCTTGGCTTTCTTCTAACCCTTCCTCAGTTCTTTTTCTTGCTTGCTTGTTTGCTTGTTTCCTTTCTTTCATTCTTCCTTCCTTACTTTCTTTCTTTCTTACTTCCTTCCTTCCTTCCTTCCTTCCTTCCTCCCTCCCTCCCTCCCTTCCTGCCTGTCTGCCTGTCTGTCTGCCTGCAGTCAGTCTGTCTGTCTGTCTGTCTGTCTGTCTGTCTGTCAGTATGCCTGAAACCGGGATAAGCTCCAGCCTGATGAGCCACTTGGCTCGCACGCAGACTTTACCCTTTTTACCCCTGTCTTTCTGTCTGTCTGTCTGTCTGTCTGTCTGTCTGTCTGTCTGTCTGCCTGTCAGCCTGCCTGTTTGCCTACTTACCTGCCTGTCTGCCTACCTGCCCCGCGCCTTTCCGCCTGCCTGCAACCCTCCCTTCTTGCCTCCTTTATTCATCTTTTTATTTATCCATTCATGAACAGCCGGTGAAATAACGTACCGATTTAGCGAGCCTATTGATAACTCCAAGCAGAGGTCTTTTCCCCCGGATTTGTTTCGCTGTAATTTTAGCCCTGATATCCGGCTCTAACCCCCGAGTTCCCGAATCAATTTTCGTTTCCCTTGGATGTTCACATTCCATAATATCTATACTATTAACACGACATTGCATTCCTCATTGACAGGTCCCAATTCCATGGAAACATTACTATCTGAAACACTCACTCCACAGGTAACAGAGAAGAATAGTTTACATATTTACCCGCTATTTCTAGACTTTCTAAGAGGTTTTGTACTTATTTAAAGTCAAAGTTTTCTCTACTAAAACATATTTTCTGAAATAACGCTTGCATTTTGTACACTGTAGGCAGGAGATTTTATTGACTAAATTTGACTTAAGCAACGCTATAGTTTTATGCACATTTGTCACGACAAATTTTCCGAAACAAAATTTGCACAGCATGATGAAAGGGGCAGAAATTGTTTGATCAGGATATCAGGTTATCTCGACAATCTTTGGGAAACTGTCGGAAATATTAGCCGACCTTCCGTTTGATTTCGTCTGAAAATTTCGGAATTTCTTAGTCATCTTTGGAAATCTTTCTGAAGTCTCTGGGTAACCTTTGAAAGTTTTGGGGTCAACAAGGATTTTGGAAAGTCTTCGGGTCGGGCTCGTAATCTCCTCAGGCCATCGGGTAATCTTCGGAAATTTCCGGAGCAATGGCTCTTAACTAGTCGAGTCATTGATTAAACCATTAAATCTTTTGAGATATATTTTAATTTCAGGTGGACGTTGATCTACAGATTGAGGAAAGACTAGAGGAGAGGAAACGACGCTTAAAGAAGTTCTGTGAATCCTACAAGAAGAAAAACGAACAACTCGCGAAAGAAAGCTACCATCACGTTATCGTGAGCGAGAAATACAAGCTGTTGTATTGTTACATACCTAAGGTGGCGTGCACGCAATGGAAGAAAATATTTCTCATTCTTCATGACAAAACACAAGGAATTCAATACAACGAACACGAGAAGTACCACGAGAAATGGCGATTTAATTATCTAAGCCAATACTCTGAAGGAGCGATTCAAAGACGACTTCGACATTACTACAAATTTCTCTTCGTCCGAGAACCGTTTGAAAGACTGTTATCGGGTTTCGAGGATAAATTTGTTTCGAATATTTGGAATTGGGCCGAAACCCCGCATCATACCAGCGAGATCTTAAACCGCTATCGCAAAGAGCATCCAAATACTACCGGCGATATAACATTAACAAAGTTTATTCACTACGTTTTAAGTCTAAGAGATGAAGCTAGAAATGAACATTGGCGAAGTTACCAAGGTCTTTGTCATCCTTGTGCTGTTGATTACGATTTCATTGGTCATTTTGAGAACTTACGGCAAGAAGCCCCGTACCTTTTGAAGAAGACAGGATTGGATAATATCATCGCTTTTCCACCGATAAAATCGCTGAACACCTCGAGGAAAGTACTCGAAAGATATTCCGAGGTACCGAAGCACATGATTTTACAACTGGGAGACGCCTTTAAAAACGACCTTCAAATGTTTAACTATCCATTTCCTGGTCCTCTCGCAGCGCTGAATATTACCAGCGGATAAAAATCTGGCAAACAGTCCCGTGACCATACTCACATGAGACCAGAAGAGATGACCAGTTAATAGAGCAGAGGCGTGCGATAACTGAGGGTTAAAACGGCAGTGTTTGTATATGTGGTTGGAGAGGGACCTTGCAAAAATATTAAAGTATATGCCAACAGGAATGCCCCTACGCAGAGTTTCAGCTATTGTCACGACTCTGCAAATCCAAAATCTCCAGATAAAATTATAGACATCAAGTTAATGTTTTTATTTAAAAATAGAAAAATATTAATAATCTTCATTTACCAACGGCAGTGTTTCTTGCAGAAAGGCCAGTGAGTCCGAGCAAACAAATGAAACAAATAATTCAAATTTAAAAATAATATTGTGACGAATTATACTTCTACAATAACAATGATTCGCGGTAAAATTGTAGATTGCCCGTGACAGTGACATTGCCTTCACTGTTGTGTCTTTTAATGGCAGTTATAGTTGGTTATCGTAATTACTTTGCTGCTAGTTTTACGACACTCCGTTAAAACCTACTCTACGGGACGGACCATTAGTTTTTGAGAAGGGTCGGGTGGTTGGGCAATTTCCGCACCCTCCATCCCCCCCCCCAAAAAAAATAATGCGCAGCTTAAAGTGCTGAAAGAAAAAATCGTGCAACGGGAGCTGTGATCGAGAAAGTGCTTTCCGCTAACCAGGTCCTGTGTTTGACTTTAAAAAAAATATATTGCCGAACCCGTTCCCCCTCCCCCGTCCCCCCTTCTCAAAAAATAATAGTCGATCCCTACGTCAGAATGGACAAAAGTTCTCATAAAGTTCTTTTGCATTACAGCCGGGTGAATGGCATATTGCAGTTGTAATTATTTTCGCCAGTAGCACGTCGTTTTATGGCAATAAACAGATAAGTGCTTCCCCAAACTGTTACCACTACCATGTTTATCACCGCCACCAGAATGTGCCTCTTCCAAGTTTTGCGCCAAACCGCCATGATGGGCATGTTCTGGTAGCGAGTTTCAATGGCTATTGACACACTGGTGAAAAACCACTCAATGGCCAGTGTAACTGATGTAGTGATGGCAAACGACTGCAGCAGGGGCAAGGGAGAATTGTCGCTTGTGTAAAAATACTGATAGAGATACAGGTAGCCATTCACGGAGATAATAGCGCTTGATTCATACAGCATGCTCATGATGTTAATATCCGCTCCCAGTCTCTCGCGGCGAGGAGTACGGAACCCTCCCCAGGGAACTTTTCTTCTTTCGAAAACCTGATGGCTTATGTGGTCTATTAAAACCGTAGTACTACGTTCAACGACTTCTGCTACGCCATGGATTACTCCAATTACGACAACGGATTGGAACTTAAATAATCTGAGATCCACTTGTAACAGTCTCAGCATTACCGCTGCCCCACAGTACAGTGGGACCAACAGCACGAATGAGGTTCCTGGATGACTGATTCGCGACAACCGCTGAACACAAACTCGCGACACTACTTTGACAACAAGTGTTATAAGGGGAGTGAAGATTGCAATTACCATTTTTCCGCTTTTCCCTTCGCCTCTGTAGGTTGGGTAGATCAAATAAGCGATAATAACAGCCATGAAATATGATAAGATACAAGGAGTTGTAGTGAGCAGGAACATTCTGCAGAGCACCTTTCGGGGGCCTTGGCAAAGATGCTTTACAATCATACACGCTTGTGTGCAAACGCACAGAAAAAAAAGAGCTATCAAAGGAATTTTCTGTGTATTCGTCAACTTGGTGCGAGTGATTCCAAAAGCTTGAAAAAAAATGCGATAAGCCGCATCCATAACGTAGAAGGTCAAACATAACAGGAAGAGTTTGAGCTTAAGTCCTGAGATCTGAAACGATCGAAAGTAAAACAGAGTGTTTAGAAAGAACCAGTAAAAGTAAGCGGAACAGACGATCACTTCTGAAATAGTCCTCATCCATTGGAGTTTCTCTGGGATCGACTTAGTGGAGAAACTTTCGCATTTGAGCAAAGTTTGATAGCTAAGGTAGTAGATCAGAATTGACACGATTCCGACCATGGTAGCACTCAAAATTGATATCAGAAATCCAAAATAAAATGATTGCCAAAGTGAACGAAAAAGTGACGGTCTAATTTGCTTCCAAGCCATTGCTCTATCTTTAGTGGCGACGTCCTGCGTTCGTTCTGTGTCTTCTGTGGAGGAGGCATCGATTAGCCTAGCATGTACTCGACTAGACTCTAGATTATCAAACTCTGTTGCGTCACTGTTGCTGTATTCTTGGTAAATAAGATCATCTACCGGTTGACGGTACCATTCGAAGCCCGTGTCCTCTAGAGGATTGTAGCCGAGCAGGTGTGAATTCTGGTCTGCTTCATCCCTAAAGCTGTAGTGTTCGGCGACGCTGCGAGTGAAACTGTACACGATGTGTACAATGATCTCTACAACGGTATGGCCAACCATATTTACATGGCAAGGATCGATAAAATATAATTCTTGTATGAGTTCAATTAAGACCTTTAGTGGTTTTATATGATCCCAGATATAGAAATAACAGTATCGCTCTTAATAAGCTGCTGCAGAGTTCAATAACTCGCCCGCGTAACGTTGAAAACTTCCTTCCTTGCTCTGACGTTTGGGTTTTGATCCTAAATCTAAATAACAAAAGAAACGAAACTGGAAACTTTCGAACGCCACTGAGGTGCCGGTGGAGGAAGGAAATCTGAAAGGTTAAACACACGTTAACCACTCATAAATTGAGCAACATTTCACTATTGGAGGAAGCTGGCAAACGAATAGACCTAATCACGGTTTTGGACGCCATCTTGCCGTGTAGGCAAGGCCTAGCGGTCAGAAATTACAGTGTTTGTACGGGAATCGGATGGCAAATAGGTAGCAGATTGTATTCACCAAATTCGGACGCAGCTGGGCCAGAAGACGCTCAGTTATTTTTTAATTTCCCATACATTTGTTTAAATTTTTTTTCCCGCGAACAGCCCTACCCAGCCAAATTTAGACAAATGTATGGAAAATTAAAAAAATTAACTGAGCGTCTTCTAGCCAAGCTACATCCTTCAAACTTGCTGAATAAAAATCTTCTACCTAGTATTTTAACGTTGCGATTCACAAATTGTGTAAAATTCGACTTTTGAAAAAGTTATTTTCCATCGGATTTCCATACAAACACTGTGATTTCTGACCGCTTTGCCTACCCGTCAAGATGGCGTCGAAACCCGTGATAAGGCCTATTCAACTAGAAACCACTAAACTTGAGAATGGATTGGATATGCTTCGGTTTAGTTAACTCCTGTTCGCTCCTTTTTGGCAAAAGCTCATCACTGAGAGGCCAGGAATAGAATCAAAGAAAAGAACGATTCGGAAAGGGTTCCTACTGTCAGACCGCGAGTAGTTTAAATGAATGACATTGAACCATTGATCGTAGCGGGAAGGGAAACACGGTAAAGGAAATGGTAGTTCCACCAAGACTGCTGGCGAGGTAGGAGGAAAAAAAGATAGCAAGCGTTCCCGCCTCGAGTTAGCGCTAACATATTTATTTGTCACTCGACCTTTTAACTCTTCATTCGATGAAAATACTCATTTGACCTTTATTTGAATTTCAGAAGGAGTTACCTAAGTAACCGAAAATAAAAGAGTTGAATCATAACTTTGGCTCAAAGGTGTCGCTCTCAAAACAAAGAAATTACGGAAGCTCATTGATTTGTAGTCAGTTGAAAACTGACAAAAAATAATCGTGTACTTGGTTTTGGCTTGTTCAATAACATTTCTCAGACTGATTTATTTTTAAATTCATCTTGACACTCATAAGGAGAAATTTTGTAGGTGTTGAACACTTTTAGGGATGAAAAATTGAACAGGAGGATTCAGACGAGGAAACAAGTACCATTTCCCGCAAATCTTCGTTAAAACACTCGCGAGTTTCCGATTCGTATCAACCAATCAAAAACTAGAACGACCTCTCACCGATGCTCCGAAAACGTAGTATAGCGGAATGAACTGACATCATGTTGCTAGGCAACTTTTCTGACGAGATTCGCGGGCTCAATAAATTCACGGTGATGTCACGTGATACTTGTTGCCGGACTGAATTTAAAACTAATCTGAGTTTGCTTACTTAGAAGAATTTACCTTCTCTTGACTTAACTGAAGTACAACTCAGAGACGCTTAACTGTGTAATAAATTATTTTTACAATACAATCACGTTTAAACTCTCTCGCGTCCACCAATTTGGCTCAAAGCAAGCCATGTCAAGACAATAAGTCAAATGAATGAAATATTGTAAAATTTCTTGTTTCCTTTTCCCGTTCCGTTCGTGGGACCGCGTTTAAACTGGACACTAGCATAACTTGACTAGCACCACTCCTCCTCTTGTGGATGATTCAAACCAATCATCAGCTTTCTTGTACACTTTGCTGTTCGTTTCCTTCAGCCTGCTGGACTTGTGAGGCCGTTATGGCTTGAATCTGTCCAAGCAACTGTTGAACATCCGGTTGATTTGGATCGATTGCGACATACACCGCGTCATTGTCCACCAATTGCACGCCATCTTCTGACGTCACTGGCACAGCGGTACTCTCCTGTAGCACATGCTCCGTGACAACCTAATAAAGAAAAGTGAAGAATGATAGATTCACGCGCTAGCGATGTTTGACTGGTGAACATGTTGTTTATCCGTTAGCCAAAAATTCCAGGTTTTAATCAGAAACTTCCCAAGATTCTGAAATACCTCTAGAGCTGAAAAACACTTTGGTAGTAACCAAGCTCTGTGAAAGCTAATCTAAAATTGGCGTTTTCTAATCAACGACGATGCCTGATTCAGAGAGAGTTTAATTCTAGAAGTAACCCCTTTTTTTCTAGAGAACAGAACGTCGAGAATTTTAGCACCATACATATTCACCATTTCAAATTTCACCTGTTTTTTTGAACAACTCGATGATTTTTGTCGACAACTAAAAGCACAGAAAATTCAGCAAATCCATAACAAAAATACGAAATATCAAATTAAAGGTGAAGAACGAAACTCTTTCCATGTTTCTATTTCACCTTCACATCATGCTGTTTAGGAAATACCTTATTCACAGAAGTATTCTACTTTCAAGTAAGTATATAGTGACAAAAAAGTAGAGCTAGCATTGTCAGTATTGTTAGTATTGCAAGTGACGATAATATTGTAAGTAGAGACAGTATTGTAAGAAATGTGAATATTGTAAGTAATGCCAGGATTGTACGTGTGGTTAATATTGCAAGTAATGATAGTATTGCAAGTAATGATAATACTGTAAGTAGAGTCAGTATTGTAAGTAGGGTTAGTATTGAGTGTAATGTTAGTGATGTAAGTTATGTGAGTATTGTAAATTACGTGTGTGTACGCAAACTCCATTTGCATTGGTAATTAATACCCTGGGGATTATGCAAATGACAGTATAAAAGAATTTACATGTGTTCATCCCATCACTCTACCCGAGGCCGCGAAAGCGAAGAGATTGGCCACCCACCTCCCACCCAACGAGTAAGTCGGTCTTGATCTAGCTGGCCGCTTCTATTTTCGCCTGGTCTTGGGCTTGTCCCAGGCGAGAGCGATTGACCGCATAACTTATTATCATGTCATTAATAACAATACCCAGGGTAGAATATTACACTGTTTTACATGGAATCGCACGTTGCCTTTATAGTACATGACGCAAGGTACCTCGGAATGTTGTCCGTCAGTTTGCTCGTGAATCATCATTTCCGTTCCCACCACCATCCCTGTTTGCGAAGTTCCCTGAGAAGTGCTAGCATCGGGGACATGTAACAACCCGGCGGGCGTCTGAATCAAGTCCGCTGCTTGCTGCGCCGCCGCCGCTTGGTTCACAATCTGTTCTGCAAGTTCAGCGGTTATCTCTGGGATGGTGACTGAGGAGATTTAAAGGACATACGTCAAGGTTTGCACATCTGCAAAAGTTTAGACTACATTTTTCACGTTCGTCGTTTGTAATCCGTGTTAATCTTGTACGTGGCCAAAATAAGTAAAAAATACACCGGTTTTCAGTTGAATGTCGAAAGCAATGTTTAAGTTGGGTTTGGTTATGCATACTGTATTTGCTGAGCTGCGTAAAGTGCCGGGCTCAAACAACGGAAACAACCTGCTCTGAAAAAAAAAGTAGCATGCTGTTATCACAGCCAGTCAGGAACAAAATAAAATAAAAACAATGGGGACTTTGCTATTGTGCGTTTCCCCGCGTTCGCCAACGCTTCTCGTACTTGGCGCCTACTACCTGTTTTCACGCGCTTGTTAGTGATTATTAGTTCTTCCCGCGCCTAGCGCCTGTAAGCTGTTTTCCCACGCTTGCCAGTGGTTACTAAGTCTACCCGCGCTTAACGCCTGCTAGCTGTTTTCCCGCGCTTAGCGCCTGTTGTCTGTTTTTCCGCGCTTGGCGCCAGGTAGCTGCATTCCCGCGCCTGGCACTGGCTTCAAAGTTTTCCCGCGCTTGGCAGTTACACGTGTTTACTTAACGTTTATAAAATACAGTTTAAAACCTCTTCGAGATTTACCTGTTGTAATCTGAGGCTGTTCTGTTTCCTGATCACCGTCCCCAGCGCCACCTTCGTTCCTTCCAAGTCGCTGTGTTTGCACCTGATTCAGTAGATGCTGCGCTAAAAGCAACTGCTGCGCCAGAGTGATCTTGAACTCACTTCCAGTCTGGTCCGCACCCTGGACAACAATCTGTGGTCCCCCGGCTCCCTCGGTCAGCTCCGCGCTCAGATTGTGAGGCACGATCTCGCCGAGGACCTGGGTAACTTGCTGTAGGAGAGACGTATCCGGGACCTTAGGTTCTGATGCTTTAGTTGCATCCGGGACTTCGCTCTAGCAGCGCAACAAAGAAAAAGATCAACTGTTAGTGAGGCTGGGACTGTATATTCTAAGATTATAGTACATCACTGAAATTGTTTGAATGAGTGACTTGTAAAAAACACTGAAACAGTAGTCCATGTTGATCTTATTTCCATCCTTTATCACTTGAGCTTGATCTTGGGTCGACATCGCTCTTATTCAAGTGAAACACTTGTGAAAGTTTTGAATAAGTCGAGAAAAATCGTTCTCCCAAACTTCCACAAGTATTTCTATTGGACAATTAGATTATGAGCTGGAGATTTCTATTTCTAGATGACGAGGGCGCAGCCCGAGTCAACTATCACGCATAGAAATCGAGAGCGAATAATCTAATTGTTTTAGTATAAATCTAATAGTCGTTCAAAACTTTATCTAAATCCTCTTCCCAGACACTTCGAAAACGCCAAGAAGCGGRCGCCATTTTGTTAACAAGGGCACACTGCTACGCTACTCACTATCTATCACAGGATAGATAGTGAGTAGCGTAGCCAATCAGAGAACGGCATTCGTGATAGAATGATAGCAGATTTACACTAAAACTCGATAGAAACACGGTACATGTTTTCTATTTCTTTTAAAATAAGTGTGCTAACAAATACCTCTTCCTCCTTAATTGGTTCTGTTTGCAGCTCTCCCTCAGACTCAGCATTACGAGCCTCGTTATCCACGATACTTTTGCCTTCATTCTGTATGCTTTGAGCAGCGGATTCCGCCTCCATAGCACCCAGGTCTTCCTGACTATCCACGTCCATATTTTGCCGAGAGGAACTGTCTTCGTACTTGAAGTCGGTTTGGCTTTCCTGACTGGAGTGTTTAGCGTGAGTGTTGAGGTGGTTTTTCAAGTAATTGAGGCGTGTAAACTTCTTGTCGCAATGCTCGCAGGCAAAAGGTTTCTCTCCCTTGTGTATGTTCAAGTGTCGTTTGTACGTTGTCAGGTAATTGAATTCTTTCCCGCAAGTGTCGCATTTGTAAGGACGGTCGCCTACAAGCATGGTTAAAAATAGCCAATCAGAGAACGGCTAAAATCGAGCAACAACCAATGCACGGGTCTCCGTAGAGTTACGTCATAAGTATGTCATCATCAGTATGACGTCATCATCACGCCAAAAAGCGTGACGACTTGAAAAGTTTCTGCGGTAAACTATTTATTCACACATACCTGTGTGCAAACGTTTGTGGTTCTTGTAGCTGTCCAAGCGAGTGAATTCTCTCTGACAGTGCTCACAAGTAAAGGGTTTAAAACCAGTGTGTAGTCGAAGATGACGCTTGTGGCTTCCAAAATCCGAGAAAACTTTCCCGCAGTAACCACACTATAGAGGCAAGGAAAGAACTCTTAACATCAGGTGAAATAAAAGATGAATTTTAAAAGCACAAACAAAATTAAAAACCATTGACCAGTTACGGGCTTTGCTGGCATTCTTGTCAAAGCATTGCCTGGTCAAATGTGAGGGATGCAGACATGTACTAGAAGGCGTGTACTGTAGTCGTGTTTCGTTTGTAACCGAAAGCCGAGCCAAAGCAAAATCGACGCGCCGGAAAGTTTACAGAAAATACAGCGAAAAATAGAAACCCAAGCATGGCTCGAAATTGCTACCGATACGGTCGCCAATGCGACTTACACTTCATTCTTGGCGACCAAAAATTCTGGTTTAGTCACCATAATGGTGACTACACTTCTCCGTGTTGACGATCAATAACGGTTGAGTTATTTTTGTTTGTAGAAAAAAACACCTCTTAGTCGAGTGGATCAGAGGGTGACTGTCACACCAACCAGATTGGGGCTTCTATGAACAACCAATCAAATTACCTCTTGAAAAGGTGAACCCCGTGTGCGAACATTTGATCCGATTTTAGAACGGCCATCTTTGTTTTGCTACAAACGGGAACAGGATTTCTTGGTTTTTCGCCTTATTCCGACATTTCCGATGCTGCTTTTACTGTGGTTAAGCCCAGGACTTTGTGGGTGGGTTTAAAAAAAATATTAGAATTTCATAATTGAGCCAAGGAATCATCGCTTGCATAATTACGAGCAGTTCAGGAGAATTTAGATCAAACCATTTATGTTTGCATAAAATATTTCAGGTGAGAATGCAAGATACATGACCACAGATCTCAATCAAGTAGCACTGTTTACGTTTATCAGATATGGTCTTCTCGTTGAAACGTTTCTTGGAATCAATACTCGTTTGAAGTGAATGGCTATGGAAACTTACCTTGAACGGTTTCTCCCCCGTGTGTGTCCTTGCATGGCGTTTGAGATCTCCTAAGTTGGCAAATCCATGGCCGCACTCCTCGCATTGATAAGGTCTTTCACCAGTGTGAACACGAATGTGCGTCTTAAGATTATAGGACTTGTTGAACTCCTTGCCACAGTATTCACAAGGATAAACTCTTCCTGTTAAGAAAATATTTAAGAAATAGAAAAGAGGAGATGAAAGGGAAGAAAGGAAAATGAAAATATTAGTTAAAATCTTTTATTCGGTGGAGAGACCTGGCATGCAGTTGAGGAGAGTAGCAGTAGAGTATTGAATATCTAGACATTAGAGTACTGTGCCAGGGGACGATCTAGGGGGAGGATGCTGGGGTGCACATTCCACCCCCCCCCCACCTTTCGCTGAGGTGAAGCCTTCTTCTTTGAATACAGTTTTAAAATTTGTTTACCTCACCAGTCCATTCCTTAGTGGTGCACCCCTTCCTGAGAAAAATCCTGGATCTGCCCTTATGTGCTCGCTACGACCTCTTGAAATAGTGCTTTTGCTTAATGATAATTATTGAGAGATATCTCCAATATCAGAAACATTTATTGGACGATAAAAATTCCAAACACGGGAAATTTTGCAGCCTCTGCATATCTTCCGTCAAATTCATTTGGGAAATGTTTTCCATGGATAGATGCCTGAATTGATTATTAAACAGGTCACATATAACAAGGAAATAATCGCAGTAAAAAGTTTGTTATAAATTACCTCCATTTGAGACAATCCTTGTTGAAACAGCTAAAAGTGTTTGAAAAAAATATGGTTAGTAGAAGAAAACAGATGAACTCAAAATTTTTTCATAATAATGGAGTAAAGTGTGAAGGTGAATTAATCAACATGACACGAGCGTGGAACAAAGAAAAATTCTGAGTCCCCGACAGGAATCGAACCCATGACCTCCCGAACACCGCG